CAGTATCATTATCTCCGTCTCTTTCTAAAATTCTAGCGCGATGACGTTGATATTCCCCCTATCCTGCCATAAGAAACCAGAACGAGAGGATTTTGTTATTGTTAAATTTACTGCCATACAGCAGAAAGTCGAGCACTATATTGGAAAACTCGTAACAGACAACGAAGAAACTGCTTACGACAAGTTATTTACGTAAAAAGTAGCAAGGTAGATAACATTTTTATTTCCCGTTCAAGCCGTGTATGGCGGCAGTTGGTTTGGAAGACATATAAATTGTTTTACCTTTGCGTAAAAAAAAAAACAAAAAAATTTACTAAACGTCAACCTGAAACGTGCGTTTTTTCTATAAATGTTTTGAAGTAGTGGGAAATTTGAAGAGACACGGTAGCTGAAAGTCTACCAAGTCGCTAAAGGATATATACTAATAGACAACACACTTGCATACAAAATTTAATTGCCAAGACCATTCAAAAATTATCAGATGAAAACAATCAATGTGAAACGGAAACTTTGCCTTCTTGTTCTAACTTCAATAAAGGGCATTCAAATATATCACACATTTCAAACAAATTGAATTCCTTCAATATTAGCAACTAGGGACTCGCCCCAGCGGGTCGCTTGGAGGAGCCCAAGAGAGCCAAAACCAAAAATAGCACGACAAATTCGATCAAACGTCAAGGTTTTGCTGCCTACTGTTTTCTACAATTACCGTGGCATAGTGCATCAGAAGTTCTTGCCACATGGTCGTTCGGTCAATAAGGAGTATTACCTTGAAGTTATGCTCCACTTGCGACAAGCGACACGAAGAAAACGTCCGGTATTATTGAAAAACAATTCATGTCTTTAGCATCACGAGCACCTGCTCACTCGTCATTTCTTGTTCGTAATTTTCTGGCCAAAAACAACACCATAATCATGCCTCAGCCACCGCATTCACCAGATTTAGCCTCCTGCGACTTTTTCCTGTTCCCAAATTTGAAGAGACCCACGAAAGGACAGCGTTTTGCGACGATTGTTGAGATAAAAACAGAATCGCTGAGAGCCCAGGAACATACCAATAACTGTATATCAAAACTTCTTCGAGGATTGGAGAAATCGCTGGCACAAGTGTATTATATCTGAAGGAGACTACTTCGAAGGGGACAAAATATAAATTGATGAATGAGTACATAAATACTTTTTTGAAAAAAAAAATCAAAATTCCCCTTATTTTTTTAACAGACTGCGTATAATAAAATGAATTCAATGCTACGTTTATGAAGTAAGACTGCGATAGACAGAAAATTTTCAATTTGAACGGAAAATTGTATTGGATCGAATCTTTCAAAACCCTCTGCATAACTGATAACCTCAAATATGCATATTCAATAATACCCTCGTCAGTGATAAATCCTCACATAAATCAAAGCTCCTAGAAATAATAAATAATAGTTGATTTGATATTACTCACCCGATGAAAAATTTGCTATTCGACGGAAATCATGAATGACTACTACCACGTGTTATTTCCACAACTACTATGAGCATGGTGAACTTAAAATAGAAAACGTTAGTGCATATAAATACATTTATACAGGGAGTCTCAACGGTCTTGATTTGTGCAATCACTTAACGACATATGGAAAAATTTCTACCGATGGCGGCGCTACTCGCACGATAATTGGTTGATCGAAATAACTGAATTTCACAACCAAGGTTACGTTTATCGTTTTGGGGTTTACTGTGTTCCGAGTTGATTAATTGTGGATTTGTGAGAGTAATGTTCTTTGGTGTGAATTGCGAAGATTACTGTAGACATGAGAAACTGATGAATTGGTGAAATATTACCCGTGATAAAACGGGTTTGAAGTACATTGATAAAAAATTTTGAATTACTATTTTTTCATTTTACGACTTTGTTGGCCGGCCAGCTCACCGGATCTAACGCCTTTAGACTTTTAACTCTTGCTTCTCTCACTCCGATTGAACTAATTATACTTCGGCAAAAAAAACGTTCAGAAAATGTGTCGCATGTGAGTAGAAGAAGCTGGTAGATATTTTGAACACCTCGTCTGAAGAAATATACAGTGTCACGCATAAAGTTCGCGACTTATGGAAGTTTTTTTCCATAATAGATATAATGAAACTTTCACTTCGCAGTTAATTGTCATGTTATACTCTGAACCTGTCAAATTTTACATTTTTTTCGCGAAAATCCTCATAAAAACATTTTTTCGAAAAATGCCAAAGAAAAAAACTGCTCAGTTTCCAATTTTATACCCTTGCTCGAAATTGGGACTCTACTATCACGTTTTCCAATTTTTTTTTTATTTTTCGAATCTTTCGCTCTGTCGATTCGAACGAAACATGATTCAAATTTCATAATTTTGATGAATACAAGACTTCAATATCATATTTTGCTCAAAAAATACCCGCACTGGCCTGTTACCAGAAAAAAATCATCTAATTTTTTGACACGCTTTATATTAGCTTCACCTGTATGTATGTATTGTTTATATGCATGTTTGCTTGTAACTCTCAAGCTCAGGATCTGTATTGACAGAATTATCGGCATTAGTGCTTGATCTATTCACGAGCAGATGGCGCTGTATGTAACCTAGTTGATATTTCTTGATCTATTCGCGGGAAGATGGCACTGTACGTAACCTAGTTGATATTTCTTGATCTATTCGCGGGAAGATGGCGCTGTACGTAAGCTACTTGATATTTATTGATCTATTCGCGGGCAGATAGAGCTGTACGTAAGCTACTTGATATTTCTTGATCTATTCGCGGGCAGATGGCGCTGTACGTAAGCTACTTGATATTTCTTGATCTATTCGCGGGCAGATGGCGCTGTACGTAACCTACTTGATCTATTCGCGGGCAGATGGCGCTGTATGTACCCTACTTGATATTTCTTGATCTATTCGCGGGCAGATGGCGCTGTACGTAACCTATTNTGTTCCATATTTTTTGTATATCTAGCGCCCACGCTTTTTTTACAATAATACTAGTATTTTTCGATCGTTATTGTTTTAAGCTTATTTAAAAAAATATTTTTAACTCTTCAGTTCGATGTCCTTTAAAAGCGTGTTTTTTAGTTTTTTAAACTATATTTTTTTATTTCACGATTCATATTAGCTTCACCTGTATGTATGTATGTGTAACCTATGTTTGTATGTATCTGTTTGTTTGTAACTTTCAAGCTCGGGATCTGTATTGACAGAATTATCGGCATTATTGCTAGATCTATTAGCGGGCAGATGGCGCTTCATGTAACTCTCAACATTATTGCTTGATCTATTCGCGGGTAGATGGCGCTGTACGTTATCTCCTTGATGGTTGTTCAAAAGAAAATCAAAATAAATGAATATATTAAAAAAAAACTGAAAAACACGATATAAAATTTCGTGATTTTAAACATTACAATCGAAATAAAATGTTCCCTTAGTAGACTTTTGAAACAAATTTTTAGTTTTGGTAAATGTCAAATTATGTTTAATGTATCGAGTTGTTTTGTGTACAGATTCTCGTACATTCATAATTCACAAATAAGTTTTATGTACAATGTGATGCACACAAAACAAAGTGGAAATCGTGACTTTTATGTGGTGAGAATGTGCCAGATCGAGATGTTGCTTGTATTTTCAATCACCGGCATCCTGGAAAAAAAATTAACTTTCCTACCGTGGGAAGGATATTGAAAACATTCAAAAAAACTTACACAAGATAAGAAAAGATAACCTCAAAATCCTACACATATGTAATAAAAACAAACAAGTTATCAATCACACATATTATCATGAATACTTTAAATAATTATTCAAGGAAAAAAACAAACAGTTTTTTCAATTATCATGAAATGTTTTATTTTTTATAATAACAGATTGTTTAAAAAAATTTACGGCGAATTTCAACTTGTGAACTAGACTACTCAAATCTATCAATAAATTAGGTACACTGACTCAGTGAGGGTTTCCTACAAAGAAAGCAAGATAAGTTAATTTCATTTTAATTTTGTTATGCAAATATTTTGTTTTCATAATTATTATTGTTGTCATTGTTAATTCAAGGCTGCCTAGGGCTTCATGGTTGCTAGGGCCGGCCCTGAGTATAATTAATATGACTCTAACTGGTAACTTCTAGGAGAAAAGTATAAGACCTCTTTTTATAGAGCATTGCTTAATAAATAATAATACCTAAATCATTTCATAAATATCTCATTATGGATACTGCCAACTATAATTTGCATGAATACGTTTTTTTTGTTACACTCTTTCGCTACTCCAAACTGATGAGATTAATACATCTATTTACATCATGTAATACAAAACTTGCATGAATTGAATTGTTAGATGTTTATAAGTCCCCAATTGCGCCTGAACAGGAAGCATCGGCCAATAAAGAAGAGAGAGAGAAGATGTTTATAAGGCTTGGCAACACCGCTCGGAAGTCTTGAGGCGTTTTCTGGTGCTCATGCATTCAAAATGTATTCGTGTGTGATTCAAATACAATCTTTCTGACGTTGAAACGATGACGTCACATCAACTATGATTTGAAACGTATTCATTATGACTTAAAACTAGCGTGAGGTTGGTTTTGAAACGGAATTTGACATTACGTTACGTCAGTCTCTGCTTTATTTTGATCGTTATAGTTTATGAAGTGCTGAAAACTTTTTATAAAATACGTTGTAAGGATGTAAAAAATAAAGCTGGAAAATTATTGCTCGTACGAATCTGATTATATTTGAGTTAGGGAAAATTGAAAATTTTGTTTTTATTATTGAATTTGACGTCTGACACAAACTGAATCATTCCATTCTGGCAAATATTATTATTAATGACGTAACTACGAATCGTTTCTGAATTCACGCTAGAAAAACACATGTTGAACCACAACCAGATAGTTGAACCAGAATTTTTTTGTAGAATTTTAGAACTCGCCTTTACTTTCGAGAATCGTGCCGTCTGCTGTCAACATATAAAAATGCTGCCAACATAAAACATAAAAATTACTTGTATATGATGTTACATTTTTATGAACGCACATATTTTTTCAACGTGCTCACATTTAACCATTTTACTGCTTCAATCTTTGGCCACCGTATTACTTCTATACGGTGCTTTGGCAAAATGAGAAACACGATGGACGTAGTAGACACAGATGTTGAAAATGAACTGCAAAATAAATGTAGGAGTTGCCTGACAGTTTTAGGAGACGATATGTACAATTTATTTGAAAAATTTGATCAAGATTTGTCCTTGTGTGATATATTCAAGATGACAATGAATTTTGAGGTATTTCAAAATGTAGATAGTTATATGTTGGAGAAAACAAAAATTACAACATTTTTTGAATTAGGTGGAAGATGATGGTTTACCCAGATGTTTTTGCAAAAAATGCGCCAATGTTATGGTGGATTTTCATAATTTTAAAAACATGTATCAAGAGAATAATCTGTACCTGAAGTCTGTTCTTGCAAATGATATAATGAAATCACCAGAGAACCATATAAAGCAGGAAGAGGAAAATAGAGAAGAATATACTTTTCTTCCTGAAAGTGAGTGTATTCTTGTTATCGATGACATAATTGCATCCTCACATACAGAAGATAATTCACAATCTGAGGATGAAAAGGAAATGAAAAAGTCTAATTTGAAAAATTCAGACCAGCAGGAACATCAATCTGCTGGACTAAAATATGAAACAATAAGTATTCAGAAATCTGAACAATCTAAGGAACCAGTGGTGAATTTAGGTGATGGCAAAAAAACAAAGTCTATTGAACAGCATATATATTTCAATGAAGATGAATGTGTATTATTAATCGACAGTAACAAAGTGGTAGAGGCAGGTTCGAAATACGAAAATTTTCAACACGCTAAATACAGATGTACACATTGCAATGATTATTTTTTGAATAAAAGTTGCTTCATCAAGCACATGAGTGAGGATCATCAAGTAATTCCTGATTACGATGAAAAGGTTTGGAAGAACATGAGATTAACACCTTCGATAACTACACCTTTACTGAACATTCATGACGGTAGTGTTTATTTGTTTTGTAAAGTATGTGAAATGGAATTTGCCGACCTCCCAGAGTTGCAGGAACATCTGCAAAACCACACGCTTTTCCTTTGTCACATCTGTGGAATGAGTTTTAAAAGAAAAAGTACTTTTGAGGACCATTCTGGTATACATGCTTCTAGTAAATTGTATCCCTGCCCAATTTGTAATAAAAGGTTCTCTCGAAAATCTGTTATGTTGAGTCACAAGAAAAAACACATCAGTCCAAGACAATATGTGTGTGAACATTGTGGTAAACGATTCAACGAGAATGGTAGTCTCAATTTGCACAAAAAATGTGTTCATTTGAAACAAAGAAATTTTCACTGTTCTGTTTGTAATCTCTCTTTTCCTCTCAAAGCAACATTGCAAAAACACATTCGGAGGCGTCACACAATTAGAGAAAAGACATTCGTTTGCAGCATTTGCAATAGCTCCTTTGCCGAAAGGGCCGCAATGTTGAGGCACTTCTCCAAACATTTGGATAGCGAGAGGTACACTTGTAGTGTGTGTCAGAGAGAATACGCATATAAGTATAGTTTAATGAAAATTAGGATTTCAACTTCTCTGTTATGAAGATCTTGATTTATTTAATGCTCTACTTCCATGAGAGTGTTGTATATAGTGCTGTTACTCTTCTCAACAAATAATTCACCGATTTTGATCTCAGCAACGTGAATGTACATGCTTTTGTTAAAGTGATCTCTCTCACTCGGTTAATAGAATCTTTCAAATCATTTTAATCGAAATGGAGAATACAGTCTCTCCTGATTTCTGGATTGTTGCCAATCGAAAAGTTTTGAGGGTTGTGGTTAGAGGAACTTTGTATTTAGAGAACAAATACAATTATAGTGTTGATGAAATTAAGTGATATTTTTTATTCAGAAATGTTCCTGATGTTCGGTTCACATACATTTTTACATGTAAAACGACGAAAACTGTTCAGCTTATAAACATTTTAGAGGGGTATTGAACCCCTAAAATCCCCCCAAACATTCTTATGCATCATAATCAAATCAATATTGTGACACATCATATTTGAATTTTTTTTGCAACTCAGCACTTTTTTGAATAGCCAGTTTTTATCGAGATAGTTTTTTTCCATTTACTTTTGAAAATTCTCAACCAATTTGTCAAAAAATTTTTAGTTTGCTGTTCAACACTCGTAATTCCTACAGATTAATAAATAGTTGCTTTAACAATTATATACAGTGACATTTGTGACATCATTGGTGTCACAAATGACATTATGTAACGCCAGTTTGTATCGAGAGTAACAAACATTTTTGTAGCAAAAAGTAACTTATGATTTCTGAGTATTCATGTTATTTGCAGGTACAAAACATATGAGCAAATATGTGGTATTTCCTAAAATAAATGTTCAAAATGGCCTTCATTTTCCTGCATGCACATTCGATGTCTCAGTTGTTGTTCGCCGATTATTTCAACAGAATGCACGTTCTCTTTCATGAAACCCCAGAAGCAAAAGTCCAAAGGGTTGAGATCTGGACTTCTGGCTGGCCGTGCATTAGGACCTTCTCCAGTTGAGGTTAAAGATCGAAAAGATATTCCCTAACTTCCAAATATTCTGGTAAATCTATTGAAGGTAGCTTCATCGGTAAATAAAATTTGATTAATGAAATTGATATTTCTATTGTTCTCCGTTAAGAACCAGTTGCAAAATCTCATTCTTTTAAAATAACCTTCATTTAGTAATTCTTGAACAGTTGTATTGCTTCCAGGGTTTCCTTTGACAAATTCTGAAGTATCCTCATCGTTTGTATCCATTTTTGGATGACCAATGGCGGTCAATGGAAAAAATAATGGTCTCTTTGGTGTATTCCGGTTGGAATATTTATTCGCATAATGCCTTGATGCTATTGCACTATTTCCTTGGCATTCATCTGTGATTAACCATAATTACAGATCATTATCTGATACATTGTTTTAGCCTGACCAAACTTACCCAGAATTATATGCATATCTGCTATTTCTGCAAACGTACATTATAAACCATTTCTAACAGAAAGTTTAATTTTTCTCAACACTCGTATCTATAGAAGAGAGACAAATCTTCAACGCTTCTTCGATGTTGAAGACTCATTTCTGGATGGAATCAATACTCCAAAGACGGTCTAATCTGAGCTTTATAAAGCATCATAAGTTGCTGAAGTGTGCACAGTTTTTTAGTTCCAAACTTTTCAGAAGTCTAGGATTTCAATACCCCCTAAAATTATTATGTTTTTGTTTTCTTTGGTTAAGTCTACAGTTCCTAAAATTTTTTAGGAACCAAATTATTTTCCCCTAGTTTTCATTTCACGTATCAAAATTACAAACGTTTAGAACGGATGTTCTTCAAGACTTCTTTTATAGCCTGCATTCCTGTTAAACGAGCCCTGTTAGTTATGAATTATGAGATTGAACAGGCTAATTTGATCTGTCCAATAGACAAGTTATTCGAATTTATTATTATGGTTTCCTTGGCTTTCAAGTGTATGAGTTGTGACATCATTCAAATTGAATAACTAGGAAATCAAGGAAATAAATTTGAAAAAAAATTGTAGTTCCAATAATGATTATTTATAATGACACTCTTCGAGTACGAGGTGTATTTGGAAAGATTATTTAAATAAAAAAAAGGTTCTTGAAGTCATTCTCTGTTATATTTTTGATAATGTTGGTAAGTTTTTCGATGTGATGTCCGCAACGCTAACAGACCCTACTACTCACTCACTTTTTCCACTACAAATTTCTCCATCAACATGAGAGACTTAATAATTAGGGATACATAACCCGTAGTAGAATCGTATATTATGACATCTTTAATAACGAATCACGATAAGTAACAACACACCGCCACTCTCACACATGCTCTCCTGGTACTTGTACCACCACTTTCGCGCCCAAACACAGACAGGTAAAAAGAAATAACTTGATTAAGGTAACACTCTCCCATCTATTGATCACTAGTGAAAACGAGAACTGTCACTATTTACGATACAGCTAACTGCATTTGCCTTTCGAGGTGTTCAGAAGCCACGGTATGTTCTTCGGAATCAGATATAGATAGCGGGTTTGTATTCTTTGCTAAGACTCAGAACTATGACTTCGACTATAACAAATCAGCGAGAGCGTTTATGGAAACATGAGTAAGAGCTGAGCCTAGAAAGTGGGCCAACATTTAACTAAGAGCTAGGACAAAACGAAAAGAAGTATGTGCCAAATTGAAATGTTCAGGTTCAACTCCTCCATCTAGTGACGAGTAGTGAAAACGATAACTGTCACTATTTACGATACAGCTAACTGCAGCATTGCCTTCAAGCTTATATTTTTGGTGGTCAGAGGCTCCGGTATGTTCTTTGAAATCAGATATTGCGAGTTTGTGCCATTGTCTAAAATGTGCGTATTCACCAAAACGAGCATTTGTGTATATTTGCTCGTGTTCGCTCATATTCGCTCGTGTTTGCTCGACATATTGATGTCTCGTCCACACCAGAGCTAATATCTTCAAGTTCGTAGTCGTAGTTGTTCCATTTAATTTGTGCGAGCACCTTTTAATGTACCGCCTTCTTCTCGATCTTTTCTGAACGCGAACAAGCATACGTTCGCTCGCTCGCTAGCCCGTACTCACCAGACGATTATTGATGCAGAATGCTCGTCCACTCTTGTTCGATCGTGCTCGCTTTTTTGATGAATACGCACCTTTATAATTCAAATCCTTAGACAATGTTTGTGTTGAATTTGCTCATTTTTACGCCTTAGTCAAAGACGAAACGGACTGGTTTAATTTTGACGATAGTCGTTTCACGAAGTGTTCTGTCGATGTACTGAATTTATTGGAGCCTCTGGAGTCACCCTACATTTTGTTTTATGAGAAAGAGGACATTGGCAGATCATGATCTTCAGATGATGTGGTACTGCAAGTTTTTCCGGGTTTTCCTGCAGCTGAAAAAGCAAATGCGCCCTGGAGCGCTAATTAATTTTTATTGTTGTTTTATAATTTCATGATTTTTATTTCAAAGAATACATAAATTAGATAACTTTAAGAAGCCCGTAGAAGCTTAGAAGTGACATTTTAGTGTCACGTAAAATTTTTAGTACTTACAGTGACCCCTAGAGGGCAATGGCAGTACGATGTCAGTATTTCATGTGAGTATCAACAGAATTGGGTAGCTGGCAGTCACTGAAAACCAGTCGGCCGAATCATATAGAAGTCAGAATTGCACCAAAATTTGATTAAATTGGTTTGTCAGTTACTGCTACCCAATTCTGTTGATAATCACATTAAATACTGACATCGTACTGCCATCGACCTCTGGTGGTCAAGGCAAGTACTAAACATTTTACGTGACATGAAAGTGCCTTTTCTGACCTTCATGGGCTTTGTATTCTCAAGATCAAAAACAACGAGAACGTTTATGGAAACAACCAAAACTAAGAACTAACTAATAGCTATGCCTAGAAAGTTGGCCAACATTTAACAAAGAGTAAAACAAAAAGTAGCATGCGTTAAATTGGAATATTTAGGTTCAACTCCTCCATCTATTGACGAGTAGTTCAAACGTGAACATTCACAATCTACGATTAAGTTAATGAAGTATTGTATTCGTTATATTTTTTGTTTTCAGAAAGTTGGTCAATATTCAACCTTCGTGTATGGTGGTCTATATATAAAAATTCAACTAATAATAACTAGAAACGAAGAAGAGTATGCGCCAAATTGAAATATTTAGGTTTCACTCTCCATCTATTGAGGAGTAGTAAAAACGAAAATTTTTTCAATTTACGATACAGCTAACTGCAGCATTGCATTGCAGGTTATAGTTTTGGTGTTCAGAGGCTGCGGTATGTACTTCGAAATTGAAATATTTACCTCTGACCTAAGAAATTTCAAAACGATTGTTTCAAATGTGTACCTTTTATAATGATGGAAAAAATTAGTTAAAGACAGATTTTTTGTTTATACGGGATCATTTTCAGTATAGAAAAATATCAAATCGGCATTGTTGCATAAACTATATTGTAACTTTGAAAACAAAACTTTACTTTTTCCATCGTTCGGAATGAAGGAAAATTTAATTTCTGAGGCCTTGACTTTCCGATCATTAATAAAAACTAAAAATTTAAACTTTATTTCAAATGTTTACAAAGAAATACCTACAATAGAAATGGCAATTCAACGAAAAATCTAATATGCATGCTTGCAAGTCAATAAGTTGTTCATAGAACTAATTTCTGAGAGAAATAAGAGAAATACAAATTATATACCATAAAGATATTCAAATCTAAAGTAAATGGAACTTCAAACGTTCAAAGATATTCGGTTGAATGTTGGGACAATGAAAGAATACACATGTGGAATCCGTAAAATACGAGATCAACACATACTTTTACGTAACGACAAGACCAAATTTAAAATTGTTGTCACTGATGATGGTCGTTATTTCAAATGAAACGCTATAAAAATATCAAAATTGATATGCCGTTGGATTATGAATGTATCTATCGTTTTATCAATATCTGTAATAAAAAAGTACAGGTCCGTATT